TTAAATAAAACACATGAATGAAAAACCATGGTCTGCGCCTAAGAGATGGAGATTGGTAGAATAGCTGCCAAAGGTGGTAATTTCCCCACCAGAGAAGAGTTCAAAATGTCTTTGGGTTGCAGGATGAAGAACTGGAAACTGAGAGACAGAGAGTGCAATCAATTGAGGTCATACTGGATGGGGCGGATCCTGATTCTATGATTAGTGTCCCTGTAAGAAGATAGAGTTGGATACAGACAAAGAGAGACACAGAAGGGAAAGACCACTGTTATGATTCAGATGTGGTGTCCCCCAAAAGCTCACACGTGAAGCAATGCAAGAAGGTTTTTAGTAGAAATGATTGGGTCATAACTTTAATCTAATCAGTGAATTAATCCCTAATGGGGTTAACTGAATAGTAACTGAAGTGGTAGGGTGTGGCTGGAGGAGGTGGGAATTGGGGTGGGTGTGTTTGGGCATAGACTTTGTATCTGGAGAGTGGAGTCTCTCTGCTTTCTGATCACCATGTGAGCTGCTTCCCTCTGTCACACACTCCATCATGATGTTCAGTCTCACCACAAGCCCCAAGAAATGGAGCTTGCTGTCTATGGATGGAGACCTCTGAAATCACAAGCCCCTAAATAAACCTTTCCTTCTCTATAGTTGTTCTGGTCAAGACTTTCAGTCACAGCAGCAAAAAAAAGCTGAGTAAAACAACCACATCAAGAAAAAGGCATAAATAAAGGGATACATCAATGAGCCAGTGACACCATGAATGGCCAGCAACCACCTACAGCTAGGAGCAGCAGGGAAACCGGAGTGTGCATGGTCCTGGTGACTCCTTGATTTCAGACTTCTAGCCTCTAGAACTGAATATGTTTATATAGCTATAAGCCATCCTGTTTGTGGCAATTTGTTACAGAAGCCCAAGAAAACCAATACAGGATGGTACCATAAAATAACACACTTCCCAGAGGAATTTAAGGGATTCAAGAGTAGAGAGAAACCCAGGAGAAACCTCCTGGCACAGTCCTGGCAGGAGACTAGTAAAGAAAAGTGGGCTGTCAGGGCCAGGGAGAGCCTGGATGCCTTCAAAGGGCTGTGGGAAGGAAAGTGGATCTCCTGTGTCCTTGAGAAGGAGCCAGCTGAGAGAGCAGGCCCTGGCAGGCTCATGGTCACACGGGTGGGGCGGGGGACATCAAGTGATGCTGGCTTGGGATGCTGTAGCCTGGAAACAGAGAATACAGACACAGGAACAGATACCCACATGGGCAGACGACATTCATACGGATTTGAGGGGGCTCATAAATGTCATCCCTGTTCATCACCACGGTTCAGAAATGAGGGATGAGAAGTCCCTTAGTCAGCATCCAAGTATCATTTTTATATGAGTAAGAAAGGTGAAATGGTAGGATGTGGCTGAGCTCAGTGGAAGTAAAAGACTTGGTGATCCTGCACACCACACCAGGGCTCCACAGACCATCTATTTCTAAAGGACACAGGCCACTGCAGTCCTTCTTTAGGAGGTGCACAGGGGAATGGAGGCTTTCTGGAATCTTCCAAAGAGAAGGAAAGACTGAGAGAGGCAGGCTTGGCTCCTGGTCCTGGTTAATCATGGTGGCATCAGCTGGGGCCCTGGAGTGTTAGTCTACAGAGGTTTCCCCACCTGGAAAGGAGAATGGGGAGAAGGAGCGCTTTCCTTTGGGTCACCCAGGACTGCTGCTGCGATGCTGCTCAGGGCTCCGGCTCTGACATCACTCTTGGGGAAAAAGCTAGGGAGGAGGGAAGCTTGAACTGTTTGACATTAAACCTGAAATGCTAAGTTTACCCCAAATCAACTAAAATTACATTTCCTGCCTTGAAGCAGAATGAGGCTTCAAATAGAATTTGAGGCTGAGTTGGAGTCAAATAGAGCTACATTTCTGGCAAACCTGAGTTTCATGAATGAGATTGATGGCTCCTGCATATGCAAATAGAAAGCCACACCAGGCATATCGGGAAGATACATCATGGCAAACCATGAACTTCCAGGTTTGGCTGATCTTAGCCCTGGGTGAAATCATAGTAGGCCACTGGGTTCTGATCCATCTGTAGTTCTGAGGTGCTTCTTTTCCTGAGTGCCACAGAAGATACCCTGCATACCAGATATCAGTCAAGTTTTGGTCTCCCTTTTTCCTAGCAATATCCTAGGACATTCTCAGGTTGTCCAAGCATCGTCCTAACGGAGGCCAATAGCAGCCAGAGTAGGAATTCCCAAATGCATCACCTCCACCTGATAAAGCTGAAAGGTCAGGGCAGGAGTTGGGATTGATCTAAAGTCATGTGGTTGGCTAGAGGCCAAACTGGAACTTAAATTCAGGTCTCTGCATGCTCAAGAGGCCCAATGTGCCTGGACTTTCTTGAGAGTACAGCTGTTCTGCACTTTCCCTTTAATAGCTCTCCACATGAGCCCTGCCCTTGTCATGGCCAGCATAGGCAGAGGCAGACTGGTTGTAAGTAGCACCTACACACCCAGAGGGCTGTTTTTGTGAAAGCAAGTAACAACAGGATCTTACAGTGGGGGCCTCTGCAAAAACTCCTAGAGGCCTGTGTCTATTTGCATTTTTATCTAGCTGCACCAGGAACTTTGATTCTGCTCTTCCCTTGGTACAAAGCAGTTTGTCCCCAATACCCTGCTCTACTTGGGTACATAGACTGTCAGGATGTGACTGCCAAAACATGTGTACATTCATCTGTGCTCACTCATCCCTCCTCCACAGTGTGTGGTCTTCCTCCTGACCCAGAAAGGAAATGCTCTTCTGAGGTCGCCCATGCCAGATGAAGCATACTGTGCTAGAGTTTGACAGGGACTCACTTCATTTACAGACATGACAACTTTTTCTTCTTAGAAAGAGACAAACGAATCTAATGGAGTGTTGTATCTTTCTTGGCCTTTGGAATAGACTCTGGCTTCTGTGTGGTGTAAGCTTGGGTTACACAAATACCTGGTTAAACATATAATTTGTTCATGCTTCTGATACATTTTAACTAGCATTAATGGAAGGCCTGCTTCCTGCTATATCCTCAGCAGGGCAAGGAGCTGCACAAGACCTGATCTGGTTCCCCCGGGGGATACTGTAGTAGACCCTCTTTGCATGAACACAGGCTACTTTCTCTGTACACATTTTCCCCTGCCTTCATGCAGCATAGCATGGGACTATGACAAGTACCAGAGGGGGAGAAAACAACTGGTTACAGAGTCTCTGTCATTCAGGCATTCCAAGCAGGAAGCAGTAGCAGATGCAACTATTACTGGCCTTCAAAAGGAAAAAAAAAAAATTCATGTCACTCTGACTTAGGACATACTTATTTCTGTAGATTTCTTTCCCCAAACCAAATCGAGAGATGGAAATCTGAAAGCAAAGTCCAAACAGATGGATTTGACAATTAACACTGATTACCGATGCCTGAAAATATTCCCATCACTTCTGGTGGCTAATCTTTACCTAAGGGAGGAAGGAGCAACAAATAGTTTAAATTTTTTTCTTGATTTTTTTTATGTGTAGTATTTCTATGACGACAGAGATAAAACTGTAGAGTGTATTCAAAATGCCACGATTTGTTTTTATTCCTTAGTTATGCCTTGTGAGCTCTTTCCACACCTACAGCTGCCTTTCCTCGGCTCCTTTGATGCATTCACTCTCCAACATGCTCTTTCTTGCAGGAGATTTTCAGCCAGACGGGCATTTTTATTCTAATGTGTTGGAGCGCTGCTGCAAGGATTATGTAGGTGTCAAGCTGTTTGCTGGGATCCTATGCTCTCAACCTCAGCTCAGACAACTGCCACACATGTTTCCTGTGGGAAGCATTTCTTGGATGTGTGCCTCCGAGGGCTGGGGCATGTGTGATGTCTTTATCCTGCTTACAATCCACCCGGTCCCTGTTGGCTGATGGATAAAATCTAAACCCTCCTCTCTGACCCTCCAGGTTGGTCCTGGCTACCCTTCTAAGCCCTATATTGAGCTTCTTCTCACCTCTCACATTCTGTCTCCTGTGACAATGGCACAAGGTCCTTTCTCACATCAGCAGAATAACAGGAGACCTGAGCAGACACCCAGAACCACTCTCCAAGGATTCTACTCCTGCCATCCCAATGAAGGACTCAGGTCCCAGCAACCAAAATCTTAGAGCACTTCCAAGACTAAATGACAATACATCCTAATTGTTAATTAAAAAAAAAAAAAACAACCCTGTGAATTACTATTAATTAGCTAGGGATAACTTAGAAGTCCCAAAGTTTATTTTCTTAAATCAATGTTTTTCCGTTTTTAAAATTCCTGATTCCTTTTATTTAAAAGCCTTCACTTTTCTGCTCCTGTGAGCCTATGTTCTCGCTGTCTGGGCTACCCTCCCCCATAGAAGCTTACCTTAGGTCTCTGATGGCAAATGTCACGGTAATCATTTAGGTCTTTTTCCTTTAGTAGATCCTCCTATCCTCAAGAAGAGTCCATGACTTGTTGCACTGGTCCTAGCTCGAGGCTTGGCCCCGTGTGAGTAATCAGCAAATGTGTGTCAAGTGAATATTAAAGTAATGAAAAGAAAGGAGAAAGGCTCTGTAGAGAATAGCACATAATTTATAGGATAAAATAGGGGATATTCTTATAGGAGGCGCATGTACATTTACTGTGAGTCATCTGGCCTTTTTTGATCTCATTTTATGCGTATGGCTAGAATCCTAAAGGGAAGAACCCGTCTGCTCTGATGCTTACCCTGCCTTGAAGCAGGATTAGGAAAGACAAGATGGCAGGCAGCTAGCTGATCCTTTCAAATTCCCTTCCCATCTTCAATGCCTAACATGACAGCTTATTTAACCAGGCTCTAGGGAAAGGCCCCCCACTGGAATTTAAGCTTCTCTTGCATTTGACCTTCCACTCTATGAATGGTTATCACAACTTAAGAGACTCAATTTGGTAACCAAGCCTGCAAGAAACTCAAAATAGCCACAGGTATTTGCAGAGCGCTGCACACAGAAAACTAGGAGGTCAGAAAGGCATATTTTGTTATTATTTCATTTCTATTTTATAAATGAGGAAGCAAGCTTGAGGATGTTAAGCAACTTCCTAAAAGACACACCGTGGGGAGAGGGGAGAGCTATGATCTGCGCTGGAGTCTCTCTTTGATCCCATGATGGTTAAGAGGGAGGAGAGAGAAATGATCTTCACCCACGTGACCAGCTTTGTACTGATTTTCAAGTGTGCTCAATTCTTTGGTCAGCGGACATTCGTAACCACATCGGAGTCCACCTCAGCACTTTTTCTTCCTTGTGTAGTGGGTGAGAAAGTTTCATTTCATACATCATTGAGAGCTGACTAGAGGTTCCACCAAGGCGACTCGAGTCCTTAACGAGACTAAAAAATTATTTAAAGATACAGGGGAAAAAAAAAAGTTATTCATGCTGAATATCTTTTGGCTTTTGAAACATTTGAAAGAACAAAGAGCATTATGATGGATCGTGTAGTATCCCCTAAAAAGATATGTCAGTCTTAACTCCCAGTACCTATGAATGATTTTATTTGGAAAGGAATTCTTCGAATCAAGTTAAGGATCATGGGGTGGGATCATCTGGATTTAGGATGTGCACTAAATTAACACCTGGTGTCATTAATAAGAGAAAGGAGAGAGAAATTTGAGACACAGAGGAATAGAGGGGACAGACCAAGTGAAGACAGACAGAAATGGCAGTGACGCTGCCTTAAACCAAGCCACACCTGGCGTCACCTGAAGCTAGAAAAGGCAAGAACGGATTCTCCCCGAGAGTTTTCTGAGGGAGTGTGGGTCTGCTACCACTTTGATGTCAGACTTTTGCTCTCCAGAGCCGTGAGAAAATAAATCCCTTTTGTTTTCATTTACCAAATTTGTGGTGATTCATCATGGCAGATTCATTATTACGATTTGTTACACAACTGGTGCTGACACTACTGTCACAAATACCTGAAAAGACAGAAGTGGCTTTGGAACTGGATAATAAGCAGAGGCCAAAGAATTTTGAGAAGCACCATAGAAGAGCCCTAGAGTGCATGTATCCCCTTGTCATGGGGTTTGCATTTGGGCCCTGCTCAACACCTCAGGGAGTTCCCACCTGCGCTTCATGGGCGAGGATGGTGCCCGCCATGACAAATTCACTCACCCCATGGAAGGCCAGGCCCGTGGCCTCACTCCTGGTGTTCAGTGTCTTCCTGATCACCTAGCAAGGTGCCCTCCGGATCTCAGGCTGGTGCTTGCCAGGAAACTGAGTACAGAGCTGCTCTATTGTGGCAGCCATTGGCAGGGGTGGACACTTCAGACCAGAGGCCAAGTGGAAATCAGGATAGCTCTGGGTAAAGAGAAAGATCAGCTCACACAGCAAACCCTGGGATATGTACCCCTTCTGCAGTGTGTGTGTGTGTGTGTGTGTGTGTGTGTGTGTGTGTGTGTGTCATGGAGAGGAACAGCTGGTTTGGGAGTCACAT